TTTACTCTCCATATACAGTGTGTCTCGCTTTTCATGAAACAACTGCTAAAACGGCGATATTTCAACTGAATAGTTGAATAGTAGTGGATTTTCAAATATGCTACTATTTATTCAATGTAAATCAGATACGGACGTATAATAGAAAATTTCAACGAGCACGTCAATTTCTATTTCTAGGGGGACTAATTCTGATGTAGAAATCATACCCGAAACTTCACTCCTCCGCGTTCAGCAACTACTCCCCCAATTTTTTTAAAAGGCATGAGGATCGAGTGATCCATCATTTTAAAGGTCTTTTGTCCCTCTATCACTTTTGTAATTTCTTTCGAAATTGGTTCATCCGTTATTGAGAAATTCAATGTTTTACGTTTATTTAAGAAAAAACAGAAAATTCACTGTCGCTCATTTCATTGAGGAAATCAACAAAAGTAATATCAATAGCAACACAATCAACGGATAAAGTGTTCAAAATAACCTTCATCTAATTCCATACAATAATACAGTATACTTTCAAAAGCGTTCCTTACATTATTAAAGATGTCCACAGTCAGAAATTGGTATTCCCGAACAAATCTCTGTCGCAGGTCTTCTAGGTTTGTAGAATTTATTTAATTAGTAGTAAACGTTTTGAAATGGACGACACTGTCTTTTCTACACTGGTAGTTTTCGTTAAATTTAGTGGTCGCAAAACGAAAAGTAGTCCTTGTTCACTGTGTTCCAACATGGTTTATTCTACTGAAGAAAGAATAGAAATTGTTGCAACCTATTATCGAATAAATAATGTGCTAAAGCTGCTGCAAGAATTTATAATACGAATCATCCAGACCACAACGTGACTCATCAATACTCATCAATCTGTTCGCAAAAGAAAACATGAAGTGTCCCGTCTTGTCAGAAATGACTGAGTTGAAGTGACAGTTTTATGACTTGTATGAAATGAATAAAAACACTTTTGTCTAAATACCATTTGTAAATTTTATTTATACGACCGATTTATACAACTAAATGATAAAATAAGTCATTTACGTAAATGTTAAATAGGACCCAGCATAGAGCCCTGCGCTACCCCATATTTCATTGCTACTGTTTCTGACGTGATAACATTGAAGCACACTGACTGTCTTCTATCTTTAAGGTACGAGTCAAAGAGAGCTAGGGCTATATCCGAAATAGTCCCCCTAGAAACACTTACGGGGGGGTCAAGTTTTCATTGGAACGCGTATTTTCTATTGGTGTAATATTCGGAGAGGGTGAAATGGGTAGATTTTTTGAAATGTATAGAAGGTCAGTATAAATGAAAACTGTTTCCGAATTCTGATTCACCAACCTTAAAATTGTTTGGGAAAAATAATTGCACTCCTGTAAAAACTATTATGAAGAATAAACAGATTCAAATAGCCCACACAAAAACATTTTGTGTGAAACACACAAAATGTGTGTTTCAAAATGTCTATTTGAAATAGTGAAATTATTAGCTACAATTTTTGAATGAATGAACATTCATATCCTCAAAACTTCACAAAACAATTACAGAATATCTTCACCCGCTGAGATTAGAATCACAAAAGATCCGACTGGCGTCGAGAATCATTAAAATTAATTATTATGAAAATCTATAACAGATGCACGTTTCACTGACAGGTGTATCCTCAAATCATTTCGGTTCACATTGCGGAACTGACAACAAAATTTAATGATACATAACATACGCTGAAGTCATAAAATAATCCGTAATGGTCGGTCTCAAGGTTAGTTCGGCTCTATGAAGTTAATAACGAATAATTCAACTGATTCGAGGAAACGTCAGTTTTCTGCTTTACTGGACAACATTAAGTATTTATTTGTTGTGTTATTGAAAATAAACAATTGAACTTGTTGGTGATTTTTAACTGAGATGAAGCAACACGATACTACAGTACGGTGCAGTTAATCTCATATAATTAGATAGAATTTATTTATCCTTTGAGCTACATTACATAAATGGGATACGTCAAATAATATTTTAATCTGATATAAAAAGTACTACTGTTACGTTTTTCCCCGTGGGTTGACCAATAATTGACTATACCGAACAATAATCAAACTTGACTTCATTTCACTTCAAATACGACAAACATTTCAACTAAAACTTCAACTGTCTATCGCCTTAGTAGATCGTTTCGCTTACCGCACTGTAACTTCCTCTTGACTGTCTCGATATGCTCCTGGCTAGCGTTTATATATCGTAATTGAATGCGCTAGAAAATTTTGCCGAATTTCCATCGAAATCGGTAGCATTATTCTCGCTACATCTAGAGCGGCAGCGAACATCGTACATTCGCGCGCTCTAAGCTACGTCACGATTGGTTTATGGCTACCAGTGGTGGCCGGCATTATTTTCTTCAGAGCTAACGAATTCAATAATCATTTCTGATTATATAAGAATCACCATATAACTTTATATTATATGAATTGAAGGGGTTATACTTTCAGGAGTGATTAATTTTTGGGAAAGAAAGTTTTTGGCTTTCTACTACTGCATCTTGATACAAAAAAGGGGATGAGGGAATCTTCCAAAGAAAGGAAGGTAGTAATCAATTTGAAAATAAGTAACTCTATACATGGATGTGTAGATCATGCAAAGAAGTAATTAAGTAGTAAGTAAGTATGATTGCGAAATCAAAGACTGCGATCAAATTAGCAACTTTACCTCCAACAACAATAGCAACACATTTACACTCATTTAGGACGTATTACCAAGTTCAGTTTTGGATTGGTAATTATAATTTGAATCCGGAAGATTGGGGTTGGATCAAATGTGAAACAATGTTCCTGCCGATAAAAACAACGGAAAAACTGGCGCCTGACGACTTACTTAGGCTGGTTAATTGTGCCTGCATAAAAGAGTGTAATAATCGATGTGGATGTAAAAAAACTGGGCTTCCTTGCTCATCTTTATGCAAAAATTGTAAAGGTGAAACATGTTCTAACAGTACAAGGTCATCACTTGATAATGACAACGATGATACTGATATCATGATCGGTCGATTAAATGCTATCGATAGTAATCCCGATGGAAATGAAGACGACCTTAATGATTATCAAGATTTTCCAGTAGGAGTTCAAGAACATCACGACAAGAAAATACAGAAGAAACCACAGATGATGAGCCACCGCCACTAAAACGATCTAAAAAATCACATGATAATTGAAAATACTTCTGAATACTACTTACTCACGAATATATACAATCGATCGCCTCAAAAACTCTTTACTAACGTTCTTCGAAAGCTTGTGATAATTCTTCTTCCGTATTTTCTGTTTCACTATCACTGTCGTCATTTAAATCAATAACGGTCGGTAGCCAAGCGGTTCGGCGTAGGTGCTTTGTTCACTCACTCGAATTGACTGCCCTGTTGGTCGGTGGTTCAAGCCCTAGTCTGAACGATAGATCTTCACTTGCTATCGTCCAACCCGTGTTAGGAATCACACGTTGAAAGGTATGACCTCGTTAATCCTTAGCTCGCACAATTTTCGACTTCTGAGGGTTGTCGTTCGTAGGGGTTCGACAGCTGGTTAACGGAAAAACAGATCTCCACAACTGATATGTAAGTGTCCAATCTCTATATAGTTTTTTTCAACCAAAATTACTTTTTTAATCATTTTCTGTCAGTCTTGTTCGGTAATATTAGATACTTCTTCTTTAATTAGCTCTATTACCGTCTTATCAAATTTTGGAAAATCATTTTAAGCCTGATGCTTTGTTTCAATTTTTAAATCATTTCGATGGGATTGAAAACACTAAAATAGTGGGGAAGTCTCAGTATGGTGTGTCCATACTTTTCAGCAATACTCTCGAGGGCATACACTTTTTCAAATGTTTTTGTCTGTTGAACTTCAAGTAGTTGGTTTTTGATGTAGTAATCTGCAAAATACAAATTGTTATCCATTAAAAAACTTTGTATTCCATCTTTCCTCGAATTTTTACTCGGTACTTTGATGAGCTGTCGTGAATGATAGGAAGCGTATTCGTTACGTAATTCCACTATTCTTCTGCTTTCCATAACTGCTTGACGTTTGTTTATTATTTTAAATCTATATCCTGATTTTTTTATCCAATTCTGAAGAGTTATGTCACAGCAGCTCACGTTATGGCCAGAAGTATTAAATTTCTTCTTCTCTCGAAACCAAACTTGAGATTAGGTTCTTATATATATTGAAACATACTCTCTGTGTTTCAATATTCAAATGCATCCGATTCTTATTCACTTTTTCGCATTGTTCACCATCGCCATTGGAATAAAAATAAAAGGGGCGGAAATGATGTCAGCAACAAATCTCACGGTGCCCAGAATATTGATTAGATGAGCACCTCATAATTCTCGAAGAAATAGAGAGAAAAATGAACACATTGACCCAGATCGTGAAATATTAAATTTTGAGTTTTTAGAATGGCTGAATTCATTTTAAGTTGTGCTTTATGAGTTGAATAACTTTGGCAAGAGTTGTTAAAAACTCTCAAGTATAATATCATAGCCGGGCATTATTTTTATATCTTTCATCAAGAATTTATCTGTTTCGTCAAGTGGCTTCTTCATTATATGATAATTTTTATTGTTGGCAGATACCTTTTTTGACTTCAGCATCATTTTTTTTTGGTTTTGAAAACATTCGTAAACATTCTGACTTGACTCATACATGCGTAACATAATAGGGAGACGCAACAGGAAGCTATAGTACGTAGAAACGTTGTGTCATTCCTGAAAGTTTGACGATGACGATTTTACGTGCTGTAACGCTCTCATGTACACCACTGACTAATTCTGAAATACCAAAGTGAAAAAGAATATCACTTTGAATGCAAATCAACTGTACGCGTAAACCTTGAAATCGCTTATTGAAATAATACATGTATTATGATTTCTTGCTGCTGTGGTCTACAGTTCAGCTAAAACTTCTAAAACTATCGTTTCATTGTGCAAAGTCACGCAAACTCTAGAGAGATCAACTTCTCATCACATGTCGGCAAATATTTCTCACCAAACTGAGAATGCAAATAAAACCAATAAGGAACTTCATACCGTCTGAAAATACGATCAGTTCAAGTGATGCAGCGGTGATATTTTCATAGGGAAAAGCGAGGTAGTGACGGGTTTATCGTCATTGTGTGCCAAACAAATGAATAGAAATTAGAGCGATTATAGAATTGACATGTGATAAGTGATACTTATCTTGAGAACAATACGTGTCACCAGGTGGTGTGGGTTAGATTATGCAGTATAATCGAGTATAAACTACTTGTTTTGTGTTGTTTCGAACCACAATGTGCAAATGTTGTCAAGAGTAAGTAGTTTTTGGTGATTTCTGTGACTGACTATGTGTTTATTGTGCTAACTTTTGTTTTTTTTGTAAACCTCGTGATTTCTCAAGTGCTAACAGCTCGCAAGCATTTGTTTATTTCGCTATCTTCCTTTCTATTGGTCGAGGAGATTATATTGTTCAATGAGATCAGTGAGCGATAAGTTTTGTGGAAACAAAATAGGTATGTCAGGTATAGTTTCTAACTGAACTGAGAGTTTGAATATTTTTGAATCACCATCGAATATTTTTATATTGAAAATTGAAATCTCCATAACAAGAATCCGCTTGTTAACGGAATACTAAATTTTAATGGCTTATGCAAATATTCAAACAGTAACATGTAAAATTTCATAAACTACATCTCACGATTTGATCTCCACAAACTTTATTTGAAAAATATATATTACAACATGTTTCATTAACACAGTAGCTTTATCAATGATTTCAGTACTTCAAGTTGCTTCCTACACTAATACTTATATACTACAGGTAACCATAATTGAGATTACCTAAGATACCTTTTCCTTTAAACATCTCTTGATTAAGAATTTCTTGTATTGGCATAGATATGAGAATGACGTTTTGGTATGTTTTAACAGGTACCCACTACGAGACAATTAGATACTTTTCATAGGGATATTAACAAAATTCATGAAAACATTAAATTCACTATTGAAGTATAAGCAGACAACTCAATCAATTTTTTGGACTCAACAATCAGTAGAATAAACAACAAACATGATTTTTCAATTTATCACAAATCGTCCTATACGGATATTACTATACCTTTCAATTCTACCCATCCTTATAAACACAATGTAGTAGCTTATAATAGCATGATTTATAGATTAGTCAGTGTTCCTTTTTCAATAGATAATTTCAATGAAGAACTCAATATCATCCAGCAAATGGGGAATGTTCCTCAACTTGGGTTATTACAGCAAATGCAAGTTTGAACAAAATAAAGATGAGTTCAATTCATGAGTTTGTCAAATTCACTTCGAAAAGTATTCAAATTGATGTTTCAAATGTTGGGTTTTAATTTTCAAAGAGATTTGTTTCTAATTCACATATTGCAAACAGCGCCTGTATCAAGTTGAAATAATTTATGCGTACCTAGATATCCTACTTTAAAAAAGGAAAATTATCTTTATAAACCAACAATTGAGGCAAAATATAAATTAAGTTCAATACCACCTCCACAAGCCACATAAACAACAGTTGTTTTGTTATTTATTTATATAGAGGAAGATAGACAAAATGTCATGTCACAGAATGTCTCGGAACTCGGAACATAAGTAAACAGAACAGCACGCCTCTGAAATATGTCATCTTTGTTTGTCTCATACAGGTAACAGATTCATTGTTCTTTATTAGCTATAACCGATGTTGCCAAATGGTGAAATAGAAACGAATCAAACAAACGAAAGATTTCAAACCATAACTTGGTTTGAAATCTTTCAATTTTTATTTTTATTTTTCATTTTTTGTTAATAATCATTTTTAATTTTCAGCTTTTGTTAATATTTCAATTTTTATTTTTTTGATTGTTGTTTGGTTTCATGTTATTTCTTTGTAATTTCAGTTTTTTTTTTGTTCAAATAAAATTGTTATTTTGGGTTAATCTTTTTAATATTTTTTCTGGTTCAACACTGTAGTAAATGTAACTGCACGAAGAATGACATTTATTATTCACCTTCAGCAGTGACACTGCAATGGTATTACAACTCGAAACCTGAAACTTATAAATATTATCTTCGACAGACCCTGGCCCTGTTCTGACTCGAAGTGATCTAATTGCGGTCGTTGAAATTCATAATTCTTATTGTCTCATAAATGAAACAAACATAGCGAGTAGGTAGAAGAATATAACATCAAGGGCAGCTCAGTAAAACATGTAGAAAGATGCATTGAAAAGGTCATTCTCAATAATGACGAGGATATTGGTAACAAAATATAACAGTTGTTGAGTTGTCGGAACTGGGAAAAGAAATACTTATATTTAACACTCCTTGGGTACGTCTCCAGTTACCACTGAATACTTTATGGGTTATATGAAATGTGATCATCATCAAAATCGTGTGGGAAACTCATATTATTTGGAATAATAATTATATAACATTTGTTTGAAAGTGGTTGACAATGTTTCATGGTGAATGTTACTAGTTCGGACTTTCATTGTATAATATTGTTCTAATATGATTCGAATTCTATGAAAGAACAAATAGAAATAGAATGAATAACTGAAATATCAATTATATATAAGCAATAACTAACAACAGTTTGTCGAAACGCCATAATTTGTTTTTTGTTTCACAACAACTTCCCCGAAAATCCTCGAAGACCAAGAAGAATTCTAAAGGGATTAAGTGGGGTAGTCTTGCAGGTCACCTGACAGAACCATGTGTTCCTTATTCAAATATCAACTATGAGATATAATGTATGAAAAAAAATTGTATATTTTGAAAATGCAATAACATATAGAATGTTTCATTTGGAAAACCAACATTGATGTCATTTTCGGAAAAACTGGAAGTTGAAAAATTCTCTCATTAGTCAAAAAGTGCCTCTTCGTGAGCATGTTCAATATTCGGAATTTCGTTAAAATAGCTGAAGGAATGAAAAAAAAATAGATGATGTACCATACATTATACGCTTTATTATTAAACCCATTAGTTCAGGAAATAGTTGAAACAAATTATGAAGTTATTCTTTCAGGTGACTCAAAAATTCGAAAAAAAAAAAATTAGATCAGATAATCAGTAACTAATTTTCATCTATTGAATTTAAAAACAGGGAAATCTGTTAGTAATATAACAAGGGCCGAAGTAATTCAAGGTCAAGCACTGTAAATCTTATATTTGATATAATGATAAATATATCTCCTGTGAGTTGGATTCAAAACATCATGGTGAACATCCCAGCCCATTTTTTATAATACGTTATTGGGAGTTTGTCAAAATTGTGGGATCGTTAGGTACCGAATCTTGTTAATACTTAGACATTCCTTTAGGTAATTGAGCACGAAAATTTACAATATAGACTAAATTTCATAAACAATTCTCATGATGCATTCAAACCCCATTTTTCCTTTATAACTGTGTCTTCTTTTATCATAGAATCCAAACTGATTCTAATATCATGCAAAAAAAATAAGCTAGGATGTTCGCAATGAAATTGCCCCCATGAGGCACTGAGGGGTCACTAAGATAACCGTGTGTGGTTCCCACAATTTTGATAAATTCTCAATAACGTATTATAAAAAACGGGATGGGATGTTCACCGTGATGTTTTGAATTCAAATCACAGGAGATATATTTATCAATAAATCGAATATAAGATTTACAGTGCTTGACCTTGAATTCCTTCTATTGACTTTACGTTCTTAATCAAAGGATACCTGAGAATGTAGGTACTCAATTATTCGGGCCTTGTTCAATAAATCTTCAATTTGTTGTTTTTTTTATTTGCTATTCTACTTAACTGATTATTTTGACCTTGATGCACCCCTTTTTTCAGTAATTCATCTTCCTGTCAAGCTGGAGTTCTTTTTCATGAATTATATTTGTTTCTCCTGACAGGACTTCAACTCGTGTTTAAAAAATACTGGCAAAACACTGAATGGTTACTAATGGCAGTTTAATTGAGTGTATAATTGAGTTTATGAGTGAATTAATTATTTTTTGTTCAATTGCATTTAGAAGCAGCAGAATCAACGTTTTGAATCATCGGATTTCGGAGAATGTAGATCTCAATTGTTCTTTTTTTGGAAGATTCCCACATTTTTTTGTATAGAGAAGGAGCTTTCAATTTAGACTAATTAATGTAATGAAAACGTGCTTTATGTGGCTATTATTATTTACCACATTTTTCGGAACTGTTTACGAGTAACGCGGTATTTTCCATTTTATTTGATGTGCTAATTGGAACAACTTCAAAATTTGCCCAAAACAAAATAGTTGAATAATAATAATGTCTCAACTTTAAAGAAAAGTTGTTAAATTTGATAATTTTCCCAATAAACAAATAATAATTGAAGACTTTTTAGAGATTCACCTGTATCAGTTCTCAAAACACAGTTTCGAAAACCCTTCATGAGTCTATATATTCTGAAAAATTTGTGGCCCAAGCTATTACTCTCATCATCGTGATTAACTGTATTATACAAATCACTTACATTACACTTCACACCTTCTAATTGGAGCGGATGTTTCTATTTATAAAATTATCTCTCGAGAGATCTATCAACATTCGTATCATCGTGCGTTAATCAAATTTTCGCTGGTACTTAATACACTTTCTTAGCTTTCTATACATATTTTAATAAAATTAGTTCTGAATAATGGAAAAATCTATTCATATACGTAGAATTTCAAAAGAGGAATGAAAAATTGAGTACAAATCATACAATGTAGCAGTACTGACACAAATGTTATTTATAGTGTAATTAAAAGTGATTGTGGATACATGTTACCAAGGCGTTCAGAGAGTCGAAATAAATATCGCAGTGTTCACAGATTTTATTGAAGCTACTGCACATAAAATTCAATGGTGATCGTAGCATAACATTTGTGCGTGATGCTTCGCATTATAATTTCAGATTCTGTCGACCTTCACTTCTTGGTACTAAGAAATTGATCCCGGGAAAAAGAACCGTACTGTCAATATTGTTGTTAAGTTATTCATGCAGGAATTTCATACCAAGGATAACTATCCTATTTTCCAAAGATGTCATATCGAATCGTGTCAACAAAATGTTATGATCGATGCCTCTCGTGGGGTATTGTCCGTCAACTTTTAGACATAAGTATTTTAGGAACTTCCTCTGCACGCTCTCAATTTATGTTTTTTTGGTAGTCTTGAAGTGGATTCCATAACACAGAGCCATACTCTAACTTAGATCTGGCAAACGCAAAATCTAGCAATTTTAAGGTGGTAATACTTTTGGAGTGTTTGCCATTTCTGTAAATGAATTCAAGCATCCTATTTGCATCAGCAGTCATATTCCTTATATGTGTTGTAAATGTTGATTTGCTGTCGTATGTTATACCAAGATCTTTTATCTCGTGTACGCGGTTGATTGTAGGATTTTTGATTGAATAATCGTACATTAAAAATCGCTTTTTTGTTGTAAATGATATTATTTTATATTTGGATACGTTCAGTTGTAGACGATTATCATTACACCAAAGTTTGCACGTTGGCAGTAAGTAATGTCGTCGATTTTATAATATAGTTTCAGGTCGTCTGCAAATAGTAGGCTAGGAATATTCAAAGAGGTTGCCAAATCATTAATAAAAATCAAAAATAAAAGAAGTCCAAGATTAGAACCTTGTGGTTCCCCAGATGTAACTACGTACTGAGCTGATTTGAAAGATTCATATTCGACTAATTGTTTTCTGTTAACTAGATATGATTCAATTAGAGTAAGCAGGTGGTTAGAGAGTCCCAATTTTGTCAATTTGCTGGTAACAACATAATGGTATATTTGATCGAAGGCTTTTTGAAAGTCTAAATAAACAACATCGACTTGTTTTTGCTTGTCCAGGTACGTACAGAGATATTGATTTAAACATGCAAGATTTGTCATACATGATCTTTGTTGTACGAAACCATGCTGAGTAGGAGAAATAACTTTTAGAATATAGGAGTACATTATGGTTTGCACACATATCTCGAAGAGTTAAGAAAAGTTACAAGTCTTGATGATTCTGAGCAGTGTTTGGTCATGTTTGAACATAATAAACTGAATTTTTGCGTCGATATGTGAAAATGAATGAAATGATCGACTGGAAAGGTTATGACCTCGGTATTTTGGAACAGTCATAACAGTGATAATTATATAGCGTTATTGGAGCATTCGAAGGCCGAAATTTCGGAAAAACGACTCCATTTGAAGAAATAGAAAGTGCTGTTTCATTAAGACAATGCTTTTGATTTTTCGTCGGTTATCTGCCACACTTACCTACAAAATTGTAGAGGTCTGTCTACTCAAAAGCATCGACTGTGGGCCCACAGGCTCTGGCCTGGTATTAATGTCCCTGTGGTCTGATCCGTTGCCTGTGGTCTATGATCCCTTGCAGAGACCAGTGACTAGACCTGTGGAGTAGGCAGATTGAAACCCCGGCGTCAAGTCACGAAACCCTTACAGCGTGAGGGAGTAGACAGATTGAGACCTCGGTGTAGTCATAGCTTCTTGAAACTAGCTTCAAAATCGAAGCCAAAACGTAGAACAACTCAATACACCAGAAGCGATTTAACCCGCGATTTGCCTTACCAGATGAACACTTCGTACCAAGATGGTTATTATAACTATTATTATTGAGGAAATGGAGGTGTTCACCTACTGAAAGAGTTGTCAACCCCACGTAAAAATCTCATATTCAGCGATCAGGCCAATTTCTGGATGAATGGGTACGTGAACAAACAAAATTGACAAATTTGGAACGATACCAATCGACAGAAGATCCAAGGGTGTCCAATGCACCCCAAAAAAGTCACTGTTTGGTGGCCATCACATTCAACGGCGAGCACTATAGGTCGATGATTAGCGACTCCATTTAGCCAGAATGGGGAATGTTCCTCCTGACGAAAATCAAGTAGTTTTCATAAAAGAGCTCTAAAACAACGCATTTAGAACTCATCATTTCAACCTTTTTCTTCAAAAAACTATTTAAATACTTAAAAAAGAGGAATAAAATAATTCATTCAACATTTAAAGGGATTCGTTTCTATTTCACCATTTGGCAACATCGGTTATAGCCAATAAAGGACAATGAATCTGTTACCTGTGTGAAACAAACAAAGATGACATATTTCAGAGGCGTGCTGTTCTGTTTACTTATGTTTCGAGTTCCGAGACATTCTGTGACATATGACATTTTGTGCACCTAACCTATCTTCCTTTATATAAATAATCAGCAAAACAACTGTTGTTTATGTGGCTTGTGGAGGTGGTATTGAACTATAATTTATATTTTTTCCCAATTGTTGATTTATAAAGATAAGTAATTTTCTTTTTTTAAAGTAGAATATCTAGGTACGTATAAATTATTTCAACTTGATATAGGCGCTGTTGCCAATATGTGAATTAGTAACGAATCCCTTTAAAAATTAAAACCCAACATTTGAAACATCAATTTGATTTATAAAGATAATTTTCCTTTTTTAAAGTAGGATATCTAGGTACGTATAAATTATTTCAACTTGATATAGGCGCTGTTGCCAATATGTGAATTAAAAACAAATCCCTTTAAAAATTAAAACCCAACATTGGAAACATCAATTTGAATACTATTCGAAGTGAATTTGAAAAACTCATGAATTAAGCTCAACTTTATTTTGTTCAAACTTGCATTTGCTCAAAAATCCCAAATTGAGGAACATTCCCCATTGGACACCAACGACCTGTGGTTTTTAGTCAGGGAAGCTATAGATTACGCTGTAGACGACCCCTCTCGATATAGAAGGCCCCGACACTCTGTCGAATGAGGCTTTTATGTCTTCCGTTAACAGATGAATAATATCTTCATCCATCTCACCCCAGCCAGGTAGGGGTACACCGCGAAGGGCGGTATGGATGTCTGAGGACTTTCATGCCATCACCAAAAATCAGTTATGACCCATTTGTCCCTCTGACAAAAACCAGCCTGAAGGGTAAGGGAGCAAGGCTTCAACCTGATCAAACTGACGATGAACATCGCCGACCTGTGGTTTCAACAAGACACACAGCTCATGGTCATCTCACGTCGAGGCGATGTGCGATTTGACCCGGTTAAACTTTTTCTTGTGGGGTTTTCTTGAGTCACGAATGAGCCACAAACCACAGCGATTCTCAAAGCCATTAAACCACATGTCATCGGTCAAATTCACGGAAAATTGGACGTTTCAGATGGCATCAATAAGTCTTTCAAACTAATCAAAAATGTCGATGATATCTCACATACACTTTGTTTTATTTAAATTTGGAGACAGAAAGCGCCTAATGAAAGATGGCTATAGCCAAGTGTATTCAAATATCGTTTTTTTATATCGTTGACAACAACGCAATCTTGGAAAACATTTTGGAGGAATTCACCTGTGATGCATCATAATAGCTGTCAATTTTTTCCATAGCCATTGTTTTATCAGTAGTTCTGAATTATTTCATGTACCGTTTCAGATGTTTGGAAACATGTTACTGGCACCTAATAGAAGAGCGGTTTTGCTTCGACGAGAGCATCGCTACCTACCAGGAACCAATCACAAAAGAAGAAAGAAACAATAACTTCTGCGAAAACATGGCGTTCTACGATAGCGTGTCTGTGATAGCGGGAAGAGCGATAGTGACGATCGACCCTTTACCCGAAAAAGAGAAACTACCCATAGTTAATCAACCCAGAAGACTGAATAGAGAAGATAGCAAGAAGAAGAAGAACTCGAGTGAAAGTGCCATTAACAGAATTCCCTCCTTCGTTTTGGATAAGGGCAGCGACGAAAGTACTACGGACAGCGACTCTCAGGAAAATATACGGAATAAAGAAGTGAGTATAAATCCGAAACAAAAACTGCCCCATACACCAGATCAGTTCATCTCCCGATGTAATCAACTTGGTTGGTGAAATACTGATCGAGAATTGCCTTGTAGTTCCGATGAATTGTAGTTCTGATGAATTATACAGTTCAATAATAATAAGCGTCAAAAGACATTGACATACAATAACTTTGCCCTTCATTTGAAAAAGAAAAACTTGGATGTGGGTCACAGAGCAAATCATAATAAAAGCAAATTTAATAAAAACAATAACAAAAACTTCAGTGTTGAATAGATCAGGATTATATAATTTAACTAGTGGTTCTTGCAAAAAACTTTATATTGGCCAAACGGGGAAAACATTTTCCTGAAGAATGAAAGAACATAGGAGTCGGGGCATGAGTTCAATCACAAAAGTGATGTATTATATTTGGAAGAGAAGGGTTAAACACCTTAACTATTTGGAATGCTTGTAAAATAGTGCTTTCGATATGTCTGAAAATTTACGGAACGACCAAATAGAATTGAGTTATTGCCGTCTATTGAACCTGTTTTCTGATGTGAAAATTGGTAATTAGTTTATTGCATATCCATTTGATGAGTTGGTAAAATATCTTTTATAATGTTACCATGCTAGGATTCACACGTTAACAGATAAGACCTCGTTAGTCCTCAGCTCGCACAAGTTTCTCAACTTCTGAGAGTTATCGTTCGTATGAGGGCGGCAGCTGATTAACAGAAAAACAGATTTTGAACAGATGTTCACATTTTCAGTTGGTCTATACCTAAACTCAGGTAAAATTATCAGTAGATAGAAGTTCATACGATTAAAATTTTTGTTTGAAACACTAATAAAGTAGAATTTAGTAAATATGAACACCCCTGAGGAAGCTATTGTGAATTGAAACACATGTTGAACTTTTGAACAGTGCTAGTTGAATAAAACTAGTATTACTTCAGGTAATTTGGTGCCGATCAATTACCAAGTTTCTTCAATGAATCTCTTCAAACTAGATCAAGTTTTTTTTTAGTTTCACTTCAGATAATTTTCATTTTTTATTGCTACCAACATACCAGGGTGGTCCTAGAAGTTTTTTCAAGAACAAAACGCAAGCACTACAGAAAAATCCTTAAGGTGCTCTCAAAGCGGTGCCTGTGACAGTGGCGATTCACATTGGATTTGAATCACTGGAGATTAAATCCATTTGGAAAAAAAAGGTTCTCAGGAAGTTTATTTCACATAAACGCAGTTCTTCAGATGAGAGAGTTCTCAAACAGTGAAGTTCGAGGTGTACTGAGTTGAACCTCAAAACAATGAGCATCCACAGTCCGTAGCGTCTTTCTGATATGTACCGCTCTTGGTAGAATCAAATATGCCAAGTCACTTGAATACATCCCGTGAAAGTATCTATAGAAAAGAGACAAATCTCCAACCTATCTTCGATGTTCCACGTGATGTTCGCGTCTTCAATCAGGCGGATGGCTCTTTTCTGGATGGAATCCAGCAACTTCAAGGTATGTTTGGGGGCAGTGTTCCAAGCTTTTGAGAAGCAGCCTTTGCTTTCCAGCGACATGATTGCGCCCAGACATATTGGTGTCCATTTTAACCCACAACAAACTTATCGAAGCAGAAAGCGGAATTGTCTATCCTGACATTATTGTATACGGTTCGGAGACATTTATTTTCTTGGGGAAAACCGATGCCTGGGTTTTTGTGGCATTGAATTGAACCTGGTTACTTTCACACCAATTCGAAATTACTTCTAGATCCTCATTGAGATACGCAACTTCCTGCTGCCGGTGAAGATGTGCCTCCGTAGCTGATGTCCTGGAATCCAAATTGAATAACGAGATAAGTGTGCTGTCGTCAGCAAAGCAATATATTGGATTCTTGGTTTTTCCAATAAGTCGTTGATATACAAGAAAAAAAGGGTTGGAGACAATATGGATCCCTGGGGAACATCAGTGTTGATGATGAAAGTATTCGAGAGATTTATTTATTTATTAATACCCAAACAGACTATTTCAGCCTAAATACTTGGATAAATAAGGTGAATTACAAATATTTATACATAAAAATATTGTCTATATTATACTTACTACCTATTTCAATGCCCAGAATTGTAGGAGATGAACTGAGTCCAAAATTGTGGAGATGTGGAAAATCAGTCTCAAATACTTGTATTCAATATGCAGTCTAAAACATTTTTACGATAAAGTGCTGGGGGTGAGGTTCAGTCTAAATCAATCAAAGTGTTGAAATTATTAGCTAATTTGAGAATGTAAATCGGCGGTGCCCTTGCTGGATTCCCTATTTTTGATATATTGAACATGAGAGTAGAACGTGTACGACGAGGAGGAATGTTGAATGGAATCGCATTAAGAATTTCTGAAGAGTTAATTTCATTATTTATCATTTTGTACAGTTCAAGCTCCTTCTTTGTTCCAAAGATGATATTTTAAATTCTGATCTCAGATGATATGTTCTTATGGTATTAAAATCAGGCCACACATGATACTCTTTCAAGAATAAATGTCGTAGTAATTTATTCTGAACCTTTTCCAATTCATATGTATACTTTTGATATTCCCCGGACCAAATAGTAGAAGCAAATTCTAGTTTAGGCCTTACTAAAGAATAATATAGTAGCTTATACTTATATGTATACTCAAAAAGCATGATGTCCGCCTGATCATAAAACCCATAATTCAATTGGCAGATTTCACCCTTTTTTTGATATGACTAGAAAATGAGAATTGTGATTCATAAGTTACTCCAAGATCTTTTACTTCTGTTTTTCTTTCTAGGACCTCTCCTATCATTTGATACGCAAAAGTAATTGGTTCTTTCAGACGAGTTATTGAGAGCACCGAATTTTTTTTTCAAATTAAAGTATAATTTATTCTTCTGACTCCATTCCAAAATAGAATCAATAAGTATCCTTCTGGAGCCCTATACAATCCCGAACTGTTTTTACTTGTTTGAATAACGTCAAATCGTCAGCAAAAAGTAGGCAATCTGAAAATTGAAGATGAGAGGGTAAATCGTTTATGAAGAGTATGAATTGAAGTGGTCCTAAACTCGAACCTTGAGGAACACCCGAATTGGCCAAAAGTTTCCCAGATGTATTTCCATCGTATCTGACAATGAAGTGTCTTCCTTGTAGATATTTTTTTATCAATTCTAAGAAATTGCTTGATAATCCATATCTGCTTATCTTTTCCAAGAGTACATCATGATGAACCTGATCAAATGCTTTATGGAAATATGTGAACACAGTGTCCAATTGTGATTTATTTTCTATAGTGTTGAAAGATTCATTACTGAATAGTAATAAATTTGTGTTAATTGATCTTTGACTCATGAAGCTATGCTGTTGAGGTACTATATATTTACTGGTGAAACTGCTGAGTTTACTGAAAATAATGTGTTCAAATAATTTTGCTGGTGAACAAATGATGGCAATAGCTCTATAGTCCTCAACATCCATTTTATTGCCAGATTTATGTAAAGGTATTGTTATGGACGTTTTCCACATAGTCGGAAATGAATTAGATTTGATAACTGTACCTGCTGACTTTTTAAGGTTTCAATTTTCTCAGTGCTTCATGAAATCAGTTTCGTTTATTGACTGCAAAGTGAATGTTTCATTACATACACCTGTATTATCATTATAATTGAAATCCGAATTGTATGTAGCTTGTTGTGAACACAAAACTGGCGAGAAAAAATTTGCAAAAGCATTAACTGTTTCTTCTTCACTAACAGGTTTATCATTATCAACAAAACTATTCAATTTTGTATTAGTTCTCTTTTTTGTAGTTACAAAATTCCAAAACTCATTTATATTATTATTTGTATTTTCCTCAATTTTCTTGTGATACATTTTTTCATCCTTTCTGATTTCATATTTTATAGAAGTTAACTAAAGCTGCGTTCACATCATGTTCATTCAATACCGAATACCAGTCAACATCTCTAATAGTGCGACTCAGCTCGAAAAAATCGGCTGTTTTATAATTATTTATTTATTTATTTATTTATTTCGTCGTCTAATGTACGACCCTGGTGATTTACTATATCATTATTTTGCTTGAATGCATTGAAGTCCAGGAAATCAGATAACAGATTGAATTTTTCACCAACAATGAATGTTTTTCCAAAGTCTTTAATATTATCTTGTGAGAAATTATACGCAAATTCGTAAACATTATTCAGGCTATTAGAGGGAATATAAACTACACCGAATGAGTAAGTTTCCTTGCTTATTCTCAGTTGAACAATTACTGCTTCAAATGACAATTATTCATCCACGGCCACTTGCAGGGAACGTTCTTCCAGGAAGCTGGACGAGCCATACACAAAAATGATCCAACAAGCCATAGCATCGAAGTTTGGCCAGCAAACCCTCATGCCACACACGGTCAAAGGCCTTAGAAATATCAAGCGCAACAGCTCTTGATTCTCCATATTTCTCGATTACGTAATTCCAAATATGGGTAACATGAGATAGAAGGTCGCCTATTGATATTTGTTTCCGAAAGCCATATTGATGATCGTTCAAGATGTTGAAGCCTTCCAAATATTTGAAGATATGTTAAGTGGTACAATACTTTTATTTGAAAGGCCTCTGCCTAACCAATACTATAAAAGCTGAATTGGATTCTACTCTAGATGAGTCTGCTCCTTTGTTTACAATATTAGGTAGCAGAGTTTCAAAGGCCGCATGTGGCTAAGAAAAATGTGTTGTTTCATCAAGACAATGCACCAGCTCACAAATCCATTATCGCAATGACCAAAATGAATTAATTGAAGTTTGAATTGCTACCTCATACACCCCACTCGCCAGATTTAGTGCCCTCGGATCATTTTCTTTTCCCAAATTTGAAAAAATTACTCAGTAGTCAAAGATTTTTCAACGATGAAGTGATGTCGGCAGTTAATGGCTATTTTGAGTGGCAAGTCCGTTGATATTTTAAAAAGGGTATCGAACTTATTGAATTTTAGTGCTATCTTTGTTAGGCCGGAAGCTTCTGGAACCACACTATTTATCGAGATTGGGTTGTTTTTATAAAGGAATAGAATAGCGATGCTGATAGTGATGATGATGAACGCAATATTCAATTAACTGCATGGTTAAATAAAAATTCTTAATGAAGAAGACAAGGAATAATAAATCACACATGTGAACAAAAAATCATAATATCTAAGATGATATCGAGAATTCTAATACCTGAATTTCTATTATTTTTTTAGATGCCTACACAAAACGATTGGCTTGTCGGTGATAATTTTCCTAACTTTAATATTTCTCTTAATCTTTCGTTTTTTTTTTCGATTAATGGTACACTATCAATAAAAATCTAGTACCCAGTCATAAATATGCACTATAAAATCAATCAATTGTTATTCGAAATGATTCTATATTAACACACTGAATTTAGGCATTATATCAAAATAAAAAAAGATACTTTGAAATAAAACTAGAAACTTTTGTAACATCCTCATACAACGGTTGTAATTTTTGATAATGATCATGTAAAACCAGATTCATCTCAATATTTTTACTTTCAGGAAACAAGAAAGACGGTCAGTTTCGAAAACATCTACACCAAAAAAGACGACGAAGCAAAATCTCCACCTATTTCAAAAGCGGGAAGTGCCTATTTGGAACCACCTGGAAATGTAGAGCTGAGGAAAAAGTCCCTGATGGAGAGAAGATCCTCCAAAAGTCTTCACCTGAAAATAGACTTTCCCAAAGAGTTGCCCATAATCAGACAAAGCTCTGTACCAAAGTTCTTCGTGGACACTCCAGAAGAAAACCAGGCTCCAAACACGTTAATAAAAAACCCCTACACCAGCCTCCAAAGCCCTATGGTTCAGCCGCAATCTTTCCTGTACGACTTGAAGTCTGTTGTGCAGATAGAAAGCTCCAAACAGAACACACATGGAGGTGATGGCAATAGTTTGGCTCCCGTTCATAGGGAGACATCCAGGTTATCGCAGATCAAGGAGAAGATCAAGTTAAAGAAGAGTAAAAGTACTCTCAGTGCGAGCAATTTACCGCATACAAACCATATTTAGTTCTAGTTATTTCCTGCCATACTTAGGTTCCATATATATGAGTTTTTAACTGGTGATATTTTGTCAAGAATAAAATAATTGATCAAAGTAATCTCAACAATTAACTGGAGAAGCAATATCATCTTAGTTTTACTTAAATATGACAAACCTGAATAAACTCTATTTCAGCTTCCTCTACTGATATATTTATTTTTCAATTTTATCCTTTTGTAATAATAATAAAAGTTACAAGATGAAAATTTTGTAGCATCATTTCAACGCAAAAGTGCCATTCTAGAAAATGTCCTTGTAACACCTGATTAATGTCAGGAAACATACGGCATAAGGTCACCCATTTCTTTATATGGATGATCTTAAACTTCATGCTTCTGGAGAATAGAATCTTCATCAGTCCTCAAGAGTGAAGGAAGAGTGCACACATGCTATCAGTATGAAATTCGGGGTAGATAAATATGCAAAGATCCATCTCGAAATAGAATCTGCAGCTCGTAGACGACAGCATCCGATACCATCTGGATACCGTTGGGACGTATACTTACCCTGAGGTGGAACAACGCCACTCACAAAAGGGCAAACTAAGTGAAAAACTTTCTCCGCGGTAAGTATCACAACTGGAACTGTCGGAGAGGAACAAAGTTACTGCCACAGACATACCTGTCACTCCGATCTTACTCTCCCCGTTTGAAGCAGTGACTCGGGAGGAGCTGTATGAACTCGACGTGAAGACCCGAAAAAAGATGCATCTTCATAGGTGTCTGCATCCGAAATCGTGCGTTAGACGGTTGTACTTCCCCCGACAACAGAGAGGCCATGAACTACGAATGTCTACACCACAGAATGATGCTGGATGGATCCAGTAAAGCCATCAGGAGTTCGGATCAAATCAAATCAAAATTTGCTTCATTACCCAAGATATGAACATCTTATTGGCAAAGTCTAGTAAAGTCAAACATGTATATGGGACAATTAACAAATATAAACTATAAAATAATGCTTAGAGACAAGAGCAGAGTATATGGACAGAACAATATTAAGTTCAGATAAACAGATACAAATATAAGTACATGAATTTATAAATATTAGGTGAATGTAAATATATAATGCTACATAATGAACATTGATAGCCATTTCGTGTTGGTTTCAATAACTTGTTTACACAAAGCTACATGGAAATTACTTGATAGAGCCTTGGTAGAATTCGTCCACACTATAATAGGGCCTCCCTACAAGGAATTCTTTCACTTTCTGAATTTCTTTTCATTATATATTCGCCTTAAATTAATGGGAAGTTGGTTTAATAACTTCTTGCTATTGAAAATAATAGAATTTTGTGAAAAGGCTAGAGTAGGTGTGGGAAGGGAAACGGAGTAAGACTGACGTGTACTATAAGTCGAGGTGTTACTAAATTGATTTTTATATTTTTTGTGGATAAGACACACTGTTTCCAAAATAAAAAGACATACTGAGGTCAGAATTTTCTGCTTCACAAATAATGGGCGGCATGAATCCCTGTAGCTAGCCTTGCATAAATATCTGATGAATACTTTTTGTACAGAGAATACCATATCGAAACGAAATTTTGCACAATTTCCCCAGAAACAAATTCCATAACGTGAATAGGACTCAATTTGTGCAAAATAAACTGATCTTGTGATAGTAGTGTCTATCATCGTCTCTTGCAACAACTCTCACTGCATAACATCCTGCTACTAGTCTTTCACACAAGTAGTCGACATGGTAATCAAATTTTAGATTTTTATCAATGATGAGCCTAAAAATTTGTTTTTCTCCAAATTTTCAATTTTCACATTTTCCAAGTGTACTTTCCCTTTGTTACATCTAAACGTGACCACATTTGTTTTATCGATGTTGAATGATAAAAGATTGGAATCACATCACTCTTTAACCCTTCTCATGTCGACGATGATTTGATCAAGTAAATTGTAGGCGGTATTGCTATGCCAGAGGATAGTGGTGTCGTCAGCGAAACATGTGAATTTACCACTTATGTCAACATGGATCAAGTCATTGACATAAATGAGAAACAACACCGGTCCCGAAACGGAACCTTGTGGAACCCCATTGACAATGAAACGTTCTTCAGATGAAATTCCATCTAATAGAACATTCTGCCGCCGATGAGAAAGGTACGTCTCAAACCAAAGTAATGCCGATCCTCTAAATCCGTAAACTTCCAGCTTGCGAAGAAGTAGCATGTGGTCTTCACAATAGAAGGCCTTGGCTAGGTCACAAAACATGGTCGCCGCAGATTCTCTGTCATTAGGATTGGTGTACAGGTTTTCCAGGAGTGAAAATATGACGTCTTGTGTACCTTTTGAAGACTGAAAGCCAAATTGGAATAAATTTATCACATTGTTTTTCTCGAGGAAGGATATTACTCGTTTTTTTATCAGTTTTTCTATAACTTTAGACAAGACGGGTATCAAAGCAATTGGCCTAAAATTAGCTGGGTTGTCAAGATCGCCTCCTTTATGTAGAAGAATGATTGTGGCAATTTTCAGACACGATGGGAACATACCTTTAGAGAATGAGAAATTTATTGCCTCCGCCAACGCACTCAAAGCCCTGTCAGAAAGAGTTATCAGAATTTTTAAGGAAAAGCCATCCCACCCCACCGAATTTTTATTTTTTATTTCTTTTATTTCATAGATATCCGTAGGTGTGAAGAAGAAAGTAGAAGGTACTGTAATATTCTTCAAGTACGACATTTGGTCGTTTTTCACAATGATATTTTCAGCCAGTTTAGTTGCCACAGAACAATAAAACGAGTTCAATTCATCTGAGTTAAGAGTTGGCTTGTTTGACTCGGTCATATGCTTTCCTCTCAATTCCATGTTTCTTTTTGTTCATTCTTGGAGTGTTCAATTCTGTTGAAGTAATACATATTTTCTTCCTTTTTAATTACTTTTCTATATATATATTCCTATACTTACTAAAATAGTTTATGAAATCAGTATTATCGATATTATCGATAAATATGCTCGCATATTTTCTGCAGATACTTTTATACCTTTTGTAATCCAAGGTTTTTTGGTTTTGTTTTTTAAATTTCGAATGGGAAATGCACAATTGAAATTCACATATAGTAATTTATGGAATTCACTCAGGGGGTCCTCAAAATGTAGGACGTTATTCCAGTCAGACTCTTCACAAAGTTGGGCAAACTTATTATAGTTGTGTTTACTGAAAAGTCTTCCTCGTCGTAAAAACTTTTTGTTGACGTTTCTTTCGATTGATATGATCCCCTCCTCTACGTGGCCCGCAACCATGAGAAAGCAGAAATTGGAGCATTTCTCTTTGAGACAGCTGATGCACTTTGTTCACTTTTCTACACCGAACGAGGTGATCATAAGTTTGGCACTGAGTTGGAATCCGTTCAGTGGCACACATAAAAGCCGCAGAGATCACTTTACTTCCGCGGCAATATTAAACGCCTCGACATTGGAGACTTCGGCTCATCAAGGCACCTGACCTTCGCTTTCCTGAGTTCGAGTGGGCTCAAGTCGGTAACTGAGGGATCCATCATGATCTACTAGTATGGTGTTTCAACACCTTAGTCTACCTTAGTCGCCTGATGGTTCCTGACACCACATGAAGGGCCTGACGTGAGGTGTCTAAGACCTTATGCATTTCCTGTTGCCATATCCAGGATATACGATCTCAGCTCAACGCAGCCCTAAGAGTGCTAAGGCCTTTTTACGGCACTTTTACGGCTTACGCTTCGGGGAAGATTTAATACGTTGTGGGGAATGAAAAATGTCGATTTTTTGGAAATATTCATTTTCCACTCTCAGGTTCATACGAGCTAATAAGCCTGATGTAGTTTTTTTCGACCATCACAGCAGGACGATATTCGTCTTTGAGTTTCAAGCCCCTGAACGAAATATCAAGATTTTCTCTATGAACTCTGCTATTTTGTCAAAATAATTCTTCTGATTATTGGAGCATTTGTTGGAATGATGATCTCTCCACTCTCGAACCCCAGATCATTTCGGCCTTCCGCACTGTGGTTGAAATCTTGGACGGACAAACGCAGAAGCTGTCATTCTTGGCCCATTGCGTCTGCTTTGGGCAAATGGTTCTCTGACCCACGATGAGGTAACTGTTTCGCTTCGAAAACAGAGTCCGGCCAGCTCAAACACTTTGAGTGGTTACTTTGACATTTGTAGTGGACATATAGCCTTAGGCACTGTTACGAGAGAAGTGTCTCACGCAAAAAAGGTACATGGCAAGAATACAAGCCCTGTGGTGTGGAATACATCCGAAGGGTGCTGCATTTTCCACTCGAAGATGGCTCAAGATGATGTATCTTACCATCCGATGTAGGACTTTGGATCTCCAATCCAGAACTAACTGGTAACAATATCAGTCCCACTCCTAGTTGACGCTATCTACTACGCTTTCCAAATCGTAAGGACAGAATCCCGGCTTGCGGTTCTGAAGATTGATCTGTGGGTACACAAGATGGAAGCTAAGATCAAGTCGCTAGGACAACACGCATCTGTTGGTATTACGAACACTGGGTTCAGATAGAGAGATTCTGAATAGACATTTATGGACATCCGAAGACACTTGACCTAAATACCCCAGCCTTAAGTCAGTTCGAAGCTTTTTGTATTGATGATGTTCAAAGAACCCATGTGTGTTCAAGAACTATGCTGTTTGATCCTGGCCCAGATGGACAGGAGCAGCCAGCATCCATTGACATTACAGTTTCTGACTTCATCTCCAACAACGGAGTTTTGTCAATTCCACATAATTACAAGCTGATAATATGTTTGAATTCGTATTATAAATTGTTTAGCATCTTATGAACACGAATTCATCCCGCAATCAACTCGGTATTCGAGTTGATATATGAGCAGGTATGGTCAAAGAGAGGATTCTCGACATATGTATACAGGACCTATTGCAAAAGGATAGCTTCTCTTCGGCCTGTATCGATTACCGAAAGACATTTGGTACAACATCGCATAAGCTTATATCTGCTAAAGCTAGATCAATTTCAAAAGATTTGTATTTCAGGGCTATCAGCTCAGCTACATTTTTCTGGATTTCATTATCCTTTGTTCTCAGAAATACCCATGGATACAGCTATGGCAATCTTGGAGACTGAAGTCCTCTGCAGATATGGAATTAGGGATGGTCGAATGCCCATCTCAAAAGACGACAATTTGAGGAGTATATGCCCTTACATAGAAACATTCTACATCAGCCGGATGCCTTAGAAACGTATACTTATTTCGAGGTGGAAAACAAGGTCACTCATAAAAGGTAACTTCAGTGAAAAACTATCTCCACGGTAAGACCCTTTCCACCGAAAGATCTGATCATCGGAACTGCCGATAAGTCACTTTTACAAATATTCTTGCACTTGGTGGTCGGTATCATCCTGAAGTTAGGACCCAAAATATGACGCATCTCCATGTGAGTCAATGGTTATACCTCCCCCGATAACAGGGAGGCCGTAGATTTTTTAATCTGAATACTCTCTGCATGGTTCACGATCATGAGGGAGCAGAAGTGTATCATTTCTTTTCAAGACAGCTCACCAAGAGGGCGATAGACTACGTAACCTCAATTTTGTCAACAAGTTGAAATCCTTTAATCAAATGAAAATCCGAGAACAATAATTTACTGATGCGCTTATACAAGAATAAGCCGATGTACAGCCACAAGGATTGTATTTGCTGTTGGCACGTTCAACATTTATGTCTCAGCATCTATCCATCGATCTATTACAAACAACTCAGAAATCGTGTAAATATAGCTGTCCGTAACGAAAAGAAAAGCTATTTAGAATTCAGTGCAAGAAACAAAAATGGTAGTAAGATTCTATGGAAAAGATTACAAAATTTGAATATACACAGCAAAACAACTGTTTCTATACCAGAATGTCTTGACAACCCTAATAGAATAAATCAGCACTTTATGCAGTCATCATCGGATAAGTCTGAACCTGAACAAAATTTGCTCAACAAGTATATTCAAAACAAAAAATCTAATTTTAGGGAACTCTTTCATTCTTCGACAGATACTGTCGATGAAATTCATAAATGCTTGCTAGAAGTGAAATCACTAGCTACTGGTCCTGACTTAATAAACTTAGAAATGATATTACTTTGCTGCCCAACAATTCTACCGGTATTAACAAATATTGTCAATTCTTGGTTACTGGAAGGTATTTTTCCTGATATCTGGAAAGTGTCATGGATAATTCCATTCCATTGATATATTGAGTTACAATGACCTCCGCCCGGTTAGTATACTACCATGTCTGTCGAAAGTAATTGAAAAAATTATGAACTTTCAGATAAGACATCATCTTGAATATACTATATTGCCTTCTGAAAAATCAGGGTTCAGACCGGGACACAGTTGCGCTACAGCCTCACTTAGCATTGTTGATGATATTATTAGAGAGACAGATGCAGGAAAAACAACTGTTCTTATTCTCTTAGATTATTCAAGAGCATTTGATACGATCAACCATGAAATTTTACTCTCTATTTTACACTTTATAGGTTTTTCGGACAGTGCTATTAGTCTTATGTGTGATTATCTACAGGACAGGAGTCAATATGTGGAGACAGCTGTGGGTCAGTCATCAAGAGAAAAGGTCACTTGTGGGGTTCCACAAAGGTCTATACTTGGCCCTGTACTATTTAGTATATACACAAGTAACTTTATTTCGAGCATTACAACTTGTAAAGTCCACTTTTACGCTGATGATACACAGCTGTATCACTCATTTGCTCCAGAAGATTGGTTTGAGGCTCAAAAAGTTATATCGGAAGATATAAACCGATTAGTAGAGGTATCACATGCGTATAAGTTGAAAATCAACGCACTCAAGTCCAAAGTAATGATATTTGGAAAAAACAGACATCACATTGAAACTATTATGAGAATTAAAATTCAAAATGAAGAGGTACTATTTACAAGTGGTGCAAGGAATTTAGGTTTACACTTAGATACAGAACTTCGATTTAGGAAACATATTAACTCTTGTCTTCAAAAGGCTTATTGTTCACTGAAAATGCTTTACCCTCATAGACATGTTCTTTCACAATCACTCAAAACAACGTTAAGTGATACACTTGTCCTGAGTCACTTTAACTTTTGTGACGTTCTGTATGGGCCATGCTTAGGTCATAACGATATTAATCGGATAGAAAAAAATCAGAAATCATGTCTCAGATTGATCTACGGTATTCGCAAATATGATCCAATATCTCACAAGTTAAGATCCGCAAAATGGATAAAAATGCAAGATCGTCGAAAACTTCATTTTCTCATTTTAACTCATGCAGTAATCATTAAACAGTGTCCCCCATATCTATACAATAAAATAAAATATAGGACAGATATTCATAACCTCAATTTACGTCATAGGGGTCATATCTCGCTTCCACCTTACAAAACTTCTCTGTTCCGAAGAAGCTTTACTTACAATGTCTTCAAGCTTTATAATGAGATTGACCCATCACTTCGTACTATGAAAGTGTATTTATTCCGAGACAAAATGAGAGACAGTCTCTTGGCCAAGAATGAATAACCCAATGTTTCCACAGACAATATTCATACAATATTTATTTATACTGCAATATTTTTAAAATGAAAATAAAAATTATTTCCATGCGAACAATTATATTCATAATGTTTATATAAACTGGGGTTGAACTAGAACTTTTTCAAATTGTTTTCAACTCCATTTTGCATTTCAGTTCAAGACCCTATGAGTGCTTTATTACCAGCTCCGGGGGATATTGAAAACGTGTTGAATGGGTTGCGAAGAATTCATTGGAGTTATTCATTTTATATCCTCTAACTGATACGGGTTAATAAGCATGATGTAGCATCAGTATTCAAGTCCGTGTGTGACGAATATTACCTCACATGTTAAGGCTGTTAATTTTGGCTCATTACGTCTGCTCACAATACATATATACTCAGACTAGTGATCATCTACAGTGAGCATTCAGCTCAGTAATATTTAGAATTCAAAATTCAATTATGAATGATGAAACCAACAGGTATAGTACTGGAGAGGCATTTCAAGTTAATCCCTTTGAGAAAGTTTATGAGTTAATAGTTAGAATCGTAGAATATAAGACCCCAAATTACATTGTTAGGTGGTCATTACCATTAATGCACTTTGTTTTATTTCAACAAAACCTTTTCCATTGTTAGTGTAAAGAAAACAAAGTTCAATTATACTGTAGATTAGATTCCTTGGTTGGTTGATATTAGTCAGTAGTTAACACGGTATGTTGAAAGTTACGTAAGGATTTTTTATCTGTAGTGAATATAGATTTTTATCGTATATTTGTGTAGATGACAAAAGAAGTCGTGCTAGTCGTAGCCGTATTTCTCACAAATTATCCTGAGAGCTCATGATGTTTGATAAAGAAATTTGCTGTTTATTGGAACATGCTCTCGGTGAAAAAATGGATAACTTGACAGTGAATATACATGATAGCAACAAAAAAGGTGCAGGTTACTTGGGTAATTTGTGTTTCATAACCTTGAAGAACAAACAAACAAATGAAGAGACGCACTTAGTGCTTAAGCAAGTCATGTCCAGTGGTGGTCCCAAATCCCTAGAATTCAATTCCACAGTTTTCCACAATGAGATGCTCTTTTACAATAACATATGGCCTTTCCTGCTGAATTTTCAACATGTTACGACAGGGAATGTGCTCAATATTATTCCAAGGTGCTACGCGTCATGTTCAAAAAAGGGAACTGAGAAACTCATACTGGAAAACCTCAGTTTCCAAAGTTTTCACGTGTGCGATAAAACAGTGCCTCTGGACAAAGCCCACCTGGAGTATATTTTCAAAACTTTCGGGCAGTTCCATGCCATGTCTTTTGCTTGTAAGGCCCTGAATCCAGAAAAGTTTGACGAACTGACGGCGCCTTTGAAAAATATTTTCGACTACTTCTTGAACGGCACTCTTTTTTTCAAAAACTCTATGAATCGCTGTTTCAAATTCATCTGGGATCATTTGGAATCTAATACGCCCGAGACGCTTTCAAGTAAACTAAGAGAATATAGTGAAGATGGACCAAATCTTTACTCGAGGATTATGAATTATAACGGAAGAAATCAAGTTCTACTCCATGGAGATTGTTGGAGTAACAATATGATGTTCAAAACGGATGTAAGTGTAATATTTCTATGACAGTCCAATGCAAGTAACTTTTGAAAAATCATAATAGTGGTTAAGAAAATCATCATTAGAACCTATACAAAATATTGACAAAATTGTTAAGGCTTTCGTGGCCGAGGTTTACTCGGGTTTGGAGGCCGTCGATTTTTGGAATTTCTTCCTGACGTTTCGCTGGCGAGAGTGGCTATCTTCTTCAGAGATTCATACATCCTGAGATCATCTTCGATGACATACTCAAGATGTATGAACCTCCAGAAAAGAATTCCAAATATCGACGGCCTTCAAACCCTTCAAAACAAATGAGGTAAAATTTATTGGTTGAAACTTATTTTTCATGGTTGAAGTGGACGTTGAAATTATCTGAATTTTCCGTATATATATCATTATCATTTGCAAGTTCGTTCAAATGAAAGTAATACTATTCATTCACTTCAATATTTACAATAATATATAATACAACAACAATACAAATAATTGGAAGGAAAGCATACACTATCAAAACCTGAATCTAAAAAATTTTCAAATGTAAATTGAATAAATGAATAAATGTGGGCTCTATAAGGAGGGGTGGTGACCTAGGCACTTGTGCCTGTTTTGCCAACCATCATCTTCTAATAAAGCCAAAAATGCATTGATACATAAAAAAAAATTAAAAATAATAATTATAATTATAGCAATTTCCAGCAATCGCAATGATAAATGTTCTTCAGAAATTACAAAAATTCCTTCCAATACATAGAAAATTTTGTTGTAAGTGAAGAAAATATCTCACGAAGCATAAAGAAAACATCTCTGGAGTACAAAATATAGCGAATACATATGAAAATATTACATATGCTGTCAAAAAAAATAAAAACTAGTCCTTAATTGTATTTTCAAGTACTGTGGTTATGAAAAAAGTACTTTAAGGATGATAACAATGTTTTTGATTTGATTCTTGTGTTTTGGTTCAATAATACGGTCTTTTTAAATTCGAAATTAAATACTGTGTAACTATATTTTTCCATTATATAACATTCCATCCCATAAATGTCAGTCAATTCAGATAAATCACATTTTTTAAATTAAAAAATATTGCAGTACAATTTTTTTCTGCCTGGAAATTTTTAAATCCAATCAATTTGCATGTTTCTACAACTCCTCATACTTTAACCATTCATTTATATTCAATAATTAACTTCATTTATCACAAGTAACATTGAAATGTACCATAGTTTCAAGTAATCAAAGTGTAAATTCCAATAAATAAACAAAAAAAATTAAATAAACGTTTTTGAAACCATGTTCTTCAGTTTTTCTATCCAATATCTGCGTAGAATGATATTATTTTGATATTATTTCAAAATAAATTATTTTTAACTTTTCAGTTCGATGTTCTTCAAAAGCGTGTTTTTTAGTTTTTTGAACTAAGTAGATATATTTATTTTTTCATTTTTTAGTTTCGTATGCTATAAAAGTGTGTGTTTTAGTCTCCTTAAACTATATTTATTTTATCCAAACTTTGGGATCAATCAGCCGTATATTGTTTAGAAAAATGACCATTGATATTTTCCGATTCCGGAGAGGGAGCTACCAAGCCCAAGGCAGCAGGCGCGCAAAGGAGGCGCGTGTTAATAAAAAAATAAAATGGTTCAGACTTTTGCGGCTGAGGTTTTCAGTGTCACTGTTTTTCGAGTTTGAAAGCCGTGGATTTTTGTAATTTTTTCCTGACGTTTCGCTGGCGCGAGTGGCTAGCTTCTTCAGAGGTTTAACCATCATGGCTTGCTGTCCGATGCCTAACTTTACGGTTTCATGAAGCGTATTTATGCCTAGTCAGGTAATCAGTTGTATTGGTACCTGTATTCGTACCTGTACTTGCACCTGCACTTGTACCTGCACTTGTACCTGTACTTGTACCTGTACTTGTACCTGTACTTAAACCTGGAACATTAACAATCTTGATGCCTGTTGTCATCCTGTTCGTTATTTTCGTATTCCTTATAATGGGGTTCCATATTCAATTGAGGTTCACCGCTTCTTCTTTTCTATTGAAATTCTCCGTGTGCTTGTGGATCTCTTGTTGGGGGCAATTAGTTCTGTGTTTTCAAACAAAATTATGTGGTCTCCTTCACTGAGCGCGTGTTCTGCCACTGCTAAGTTGTCTGCAGTTCCTTTTATGCTCTTTCAGTCTTGTTCCCATGGATCGTTTGGTGGTTCCGATATATACCTTCCCACAAGTGCACGGTATGCGATAGAGCCCTGCTGCTGATAATGGGTCTCTTTTGTCTTTAGCCGACCTGAGGCTAAAGAGAAAGTGCAGGTACAAGTACAGGTACAAGTACAGGTATCAACACAACTGATTACCTGACAAGGCATAAATACGCTTTACGAAGCCTAAAAGTTAGTAATGATTGTTAAACCTCTGAAGTAGCTAGCCACTCGCGTCAGCAAAACGTCAGGAAGAAATTCCATAAATCCACGGCTTTCAAACTCGAAAAACAGTGACACTGAAAAAAAATCCTTTTTCCAAATGAAGAAATACATGAGAGTGAGTTTGAATTATATCAATGAGGTTACGTACAGCGCCATCTGCCCGCGAATAGTTCAAGCAATAATGTCAAGGAGGTTATATACAGCGCCATCTTCCGCGAATAAATCAAGCAATAATGTCAATAATTCCGTCAAATACAGATCCCGAGCTTGAGAGTTACAAACAAAGAAACATACATACATACAGATAAAGCTAATAAAAGCGTTTAAAAAAAATTCTGCTTTTTTGGGATGGAGGAGAAAGTTGTGGAAAAATTTAAAAACAGGAACACAGTTCTTTCAATTTTTCTTTCATTTTTTCATTATGTGAAAAACAGGTTCATACAAAAGTTGCAGTTCTTTTTGTTGCCTGCAACTTCCATATTTCACCTTATTTCAGAAGGACTAGTTTCTTGAGAACCTATTTCACATCCCTTAATTTCGAGTCAACCTTGCATTTTCCTATTATAACAATTTCCATGCTCAAATTGAAAAGGGTATATTTTTAGGAGAGAATATTTTTTGGGAAAGCAAGGTTTTGGCTTTCTACTACTCCATCTTGATACAAAAAAATGTGGGAACCTTCCAAAGAAAGAAAGGAAGTAATCAGTTTCAAAATGAATAGTAGAAAGCCAAAAACTTTTTTCCCAAAAATGAGTCACTCCTAAAAATATAACTCTTTCAATTTAAATGGAAGTAGCTGTTTGGAGAGGGCTTTTTCTTTCAGTTTGTGTCTGAAAGTTACTTTTTTGTATGATCTACACATGTTTGTAAAGAGTTTATCATTTTGGATTAATTTGCTGTCTTTCTCTTTTTTTGGAAGATCACACATTTTTTTTGTATGAGTAAGAAGTCCAATCCTTTCTCACCAAATCTCTCAATAAAATATACCTTTTTCAATCAATAACATAAGTAACATAACATAAGTTTTGTTATTTTATGTTTTTGGGTAAAGACTTTATTTTGGAATCAATTGCTTTCTTTCTTTTTGGGAGATTCCCAGATTTTTGTATGAAGATACAGAAGTGAGAAACCAAAACTTTTCTTTCCTGATTTTCATGATATCTGTTTATCATTTATGAGTGAGTCATTGTTCAAATCCTGTGTGATATAATTATCTCTGTGCCTGCTATGGCATTTTGACAACGTTCTAGAAAAAAATATGAAACACAAAGGGGGGCAACGAACAATATAAGGCATGGCAATAGTCAGGCGTAGTAATATATCAAACGTCACTTCTTTCAGGGTCATGGAAAAGTAGTAGACATGAGACTGATTGATTTCCAAATGATTAGAAAAGGAACCCCAGTTTTCGACCTATCGTACTGCTTCTATTCCTCCGCATCCAAAGAGTCACTGAGGGAGCTAGAATTCTTTCTGAAAATATACCATGATAGTCTCTCACAGTGTCTGAAGACCTACAATTGCGAAGCTGAAATGATGTACCCCTTTGGAGTGTTGAAAAAAGAGTGGAAGGAATACTGTAAATTCGGTTTCATGATGGGAATGATATGCTGGGAGCAAAAATTGAGATACGAAGTTGGAATCAGAGACTTGAGTAAAATCATTGATGGCGATAAATCTGAAATGCAGAAACCTCGTTTGTTTGATGCGGAAAAGTACAGGAATATTACTAGGGACGTTTTGGATCACATGTACTGTAATGATTTTTTGTAAAAGAAGTTTGACCAACAAAATTCCACTAACATAAAAAATTATAACTATTGATAACAAAAACCAAGGACCCTGTATGTTATACAATCTACAGTATCACAGTGAGTTTCTATTAAAAAGTGAATAATCAATGAATAATCCCATCTGTCCAGATTTTGTTATCTCCAATAGAAAAAACAAATTACAAGTCTTTGCAAATCTGATATACAGTGTGACCCATTTAAGATGGAAGCACCCTTATAAAACTTACATTTTTCAACCGATTGGAATGTTTTTTTTTTTGTTAGGTAGATATTCAAAAAGTCTATTAGGACACCAAATATCATGAATAAATCTCAATTTCCAGGGCCAACTAATCTTATTTTTCAAGGTCAAAAATCTAAAAAAATTACTAGCGATTTTTTTAGAAAAACTCTGACTACACCACTGGATTTGTGACATTTTCAAATGGGTAACATGTAAATTACGTTGAAATGCGTCAATCAATAAAAAAGTTATAAAGGAATGAAATTTGAAAAATATGCCGTTTAATCAACCCACCAATTCATGTTCAGGAATTTTATGAAAATTCTGTATACACCACTGGATTCAGGATGTCTTGAAATAT